GGCCGGGGGGGGGGGGAGAGAATGCAGACCAAGCTCGCGACTTTTCCTTAATAACCCCGGTGTCCCTTTTTCTCCTCCCCTTCTTTTACCCCCTCAACGCGTGTGGGGGGGGGCTTGAGGGGGGGGAGAGGCGACTTTCTCGGAAATGGCACTCTTTGGGAGAGGGGGAGAACCAAGTAAGCCTGGGCTGCTTCTCCTGTTTTGCGGAGCCGGGCATTGTGGGGGAGGGGAAAGGGAGGGGAGGGGAGAGAGAGGGAGGACGGGGCACCCTTGCCGGACCGGAGCTGTCTGCTGCTCCCGCAGCCAAGCGCCGGGCTTCCGAGGCTTCCTTTCCACCCCACCGCCCGACCCGAGAGAGAGACGGGCGGCTTATTTATTTATTTTTTTCCCTTTTTTTTTTTGCTCCCGCCGCCGCCCCTCCCTCCCCAACCCCGCCGCTTCTTTTTCCTTGCTCGCTTTGGCCAAGTCTGCTGACAGGATGGCTCTGAGTGGAAGTGTGTAACCAAACGATGCTCTTCTGGACAGAGCCGGCCGCCAATGGATTCGGCATTTAAGCCTAGAATCGGGACGGGGAGGGGAGGGGGGAGGCAGGGGGCTGGAGAAGCCAGCTGGGGCGGTGGGACAGGAGAGCCGAAAGTGGAAGAAGCTTCCCGGTCTCCCCCCCCCCGTCTGCCTCCCCCCTCCCCCCTCCCCCCCAGGGTTGTCGAGCTGGGGCTTTTCTTAATAACCGTGTAGATTGAGATACCTGCCTGTCCGTGGGTCGGTTTTGAACCGAAAGGAGGCGATTCCCTTTCTGTGCCTGTATAAACCTAGACGGCGACTGGAGAGGCCGGGGCTGCTACGGCTGCGAGACGGGAGGCTTTATTGCAACGCTTCTTTCCTTGGGGGTGGGGGGTGAGAAAGGCTATTTCCACACACCCCCCACTGGTTCTTCCAGGCCCAGCTCGTGGGACACAGGGGGCTTCAGCTCGACCGCCTCTCTCTCCCTCTCCCACCCACCCCTATCTCCCTCTACCGCCCCCCCCACCCCGCCCTTGCCTTTATCACGACCCGGGAAGGAGCCGCTGGGTCTTCCAGGTCTCCTCAGGTGACCGAGACTCCCATTGTCCTTCTTTTCCTTCGCCCACTTCGCAGGTCACAGCGGCGTGAATCAGCTCGGCGGGGTGTTTGTCAACGGGCGGCCGCTGCCAGATTCAACCCGGCAAAAAATCGTGGAACTGGCCCACAGCGGGGCCCGGCCGTGCGACATCTCCCGAATCCTGCAGGTGAAAACGCCAGTCGCCTCCCCAGTTGGAGCCAGCCCGGGGCTTTCTTGCTTGGAGAAGGAAAAAAGGAGGGGAAAAAAAGAAAAAAAAAAACCCAAACAGGGGAGAGGAGGGCTTTCCACACGGCTGCAAACTTCCCCGTCCAGTTTTCTGGGAGTGGGGGGTGGGGTGGAGAATCATAAATTATGCTTAGTGCATATTTCATGGGAAATATAATATATATATATATATTGCTTGACCAGTCTGTCTATATGCCTTATTTGTATGTGGGTCACCTAGTGCTGCGACAGTGCCTTAGTCGGCTGGGAATGACCTGGGCGAGGATAAGAGGTAGCCATATTCCCCAGAGGCCTTCTTGGAAATTTCGTCCCCTGTTCCCTTGAAGCTTCTTTCCAAGCGGCATTTCATTGGGGACGGAGGTGTATATATGTGTGCGGGGGGGGGAGCTAAGGTGTCCTCCCCACCCGGATGTAGTAGTAGTAGCAGCTTCTGTTTTCTGCATGCATATTATTAAGCAAAGGCTGAAAAACCAGCAATGCTCGAATCGCCTTTGCTTCCGCAATCCTTACCTCAAGGCTCCTCAAGACGTTTTGGCCAGGTTATTTGGCTTTAGGGAGGCAGTGGAATTCGTCTTTGATAGGTCAGCTCCACAATCCCGACATCCCTTCCCCAGGAATGTGTCTTATTTTGAAAACTAGTCTGAAGATGTCCTTAGTAGCTTATCTGCTAAACACCTGATCCACGTTGGCCACCTTCCTTCAGTTTTTCTCTCCCTTCCCTCGTGTCGAAAGGTTTTTTTTTTAAAAAGAACAAATATTTCACCTTTGTAGCAAGTAGGCTCCCAAATGTAATCTTTTTTCTAAAAAAAAAGGAAAAGAAAAGAAAAAAAACCTCTCTAAGTAAGTTCTCATACCATTGAAGGTATATTTTTGTGTTATAGACCCATGCAGATGCAAAAGTCCAAGTGCTGGACAATCAAAACGTAAGCTTGTCATTGTTTAATGCATACTTAAACAATTTTATTTTTGTCTTGAAATTATTAATAATGTGATTTTCTGTCCACTTCCCTGATGCAGGTGTCGAATGGCTGTGTGAGTAAAATTCTGGGCAGGTATTACGAAACTGGCTCCATTCGACCGCGGGCCATCGGAGGTAGCAAGCCGAGAGTAGCGACTCCAGAAGTTGTAAGCAAAATAGCACAGTATAAGCGGGAGTGCCCCTCGATCTTCGCTTGGGAGATCCGAGACAGATTACTATCGGAGGGGGTCTGTACCAACGATAATATACCCAGCGTAAGTTCCTTGAGAATCTCTTTTCTGTCTGATCTAGAACAGCGTCATAGATAACTGTTCCCTCCTTGTCTTTTAGCATCATAGTCCTCCCTTCTCTGTCTCACTGTCCTTCCTTCCATAGGGGCCAAACTTGCAGGAGCGCTTGGGAAAAATTTTTTTTTACTTGGGATTCACTCTTGGCTCTAAGCTCTTGGGGATTTAAAGAATAGTATATGCTCCTTTTGAATATCCCAAATCTAAAAAAAAAATAAATCTAAAAATCTAAATGTAAGAACAACAACAACAACAACAAAAGCGGGGAAATCTTTCTGTGTGAATTAGGAGTGGTTGAGCTGTTTCATCCTGAGCATTTCTTCCTCATTTGAAGAGGATGAGGCATTTTTGCCCCAGGCTATTCACTTCCCAAGGAAATGGAAAGGACTCGGGCTAACACACTGGGCCCTGCCAAAAGGGATCTAAATTTGGCTGCCTCTGCCTTGGTGCCAACTGTGTTTGAGGGCACAGCTGAACCCACTTGCTTGTGCCACATGCTTTTCACTAGGATCTCAGCTTGTTGTCTTAGGCTCGGTAGCATATGCCTTGCCTCCTGAATGCATCCCCACCCCAACCCAACCCAAAGTCTTGGGATGGCAGCCTAGCGCTGCATCAATCAGGGCCCATTGATTAGGGAGGGGGTCTACTGAAAGCCTGGAGCTTGCAATGGAGCAAGAGGGCCAGGGAAGACCTGTGTCTTGAAGGCTCCTTGCCAAGGACTCCTGCTGAAATAAATTGGTGGGCATGATCCTGGGAAGCCGAGTGAGTTTTCTTTCACTTCTGGCTTTCTCCTCCGGGTGGACAGTCGACCTGTGGCTGGAATGGGAAGCGGGTGGGTGGGTGGGGGGTGAGGTTCCGCACCACTGTGCCTGCCATTTGGTGGAATGCAATTTCCCTTCCAGGTCTCTTCGATCAACCGAGTCCTACGCAACCTGGCTAGCGAAAAGCAACAGATGGGAGCAGATGGAATGTATGACAAGCTAAGGATGCTGAATGGGCAGACAGGGACGTGGGGCACCAGGCCTGGGTGGTACCCAGGCACATCTGTCCCAGGACAACCAACACAAGGTAGGCAGGGAAGGGAGGTGTCAACTGCTCCTTCCCATCTCTCCCCCCCCCCCCGTCTCTTCCCAGGTCAATCTGATTTCTCAAATGACCCTTCAGAGCCTAAAGGAGCAACTCAACACAGGTCTACCTGACTCAGTCTACCTGACTCATTTCCAACTTCCCTCTCACTCTCTACTCTGCCTCCCTGGGAATGCCCACTTAAAGGGCATTTTATAAAAGCAATGATTGTTCAGTCCAATTTCCTAAATACCACCCTTTATCTAAGGACACCTCCAGATAGTATACAGCAGGGGTCCTCAACCTTGGCAACGTTAAGACTTGTGGACTTCAACTCCCAGAATTCCCCAGCCAGCTTAGCTGGCTGGGGAATTCTGGGAGTTGAAGTCCACAAGTCTTAAAGTTGCCGAGATTGAGGACCCCTGGTATAGAGGGTAGACTAGGCAGTTAAAAACAAACTGGAGAAGGAGAGCCAGTGGGTGAAGGGTTTAAGGGTTGGATAACAACGGAGAGATGGGGGGGGGGCTAATCCATACCCAACCACAGAAACTCCCTGGGTGACTTTGAGCCAGGCATTTCTCTCAGTCCAACCGCCTCCAAAGGGTTGTTGTAGGGAACCAAATGGAAGAGAGAGCCCTACTTATGTCCTCTCGAGTTCCTACATTTGCTTCTAAGAAAGCTGCCCAAGTCACCAGCAGCAGAGTTTCAGGTTGCTTTTATTAAATCAAGTCCCTGGCACAACCGGGCCATCCCTTTCTCCCAATTAAAAGGCATCCGATGATGCTAAGCCTCCGATAGACTCTGAGCAAATCCTCACTGTATCAGCTTGCTTTGGAAGCTTGTAATTATGAAGCCCTGAGTGGGGAGAAGCATCCCCAACGGTGGATGGACGGGCTAAAAAAAGCAAAAACCCACAGCAGTTCTTCCCTTTCAGGATCTGGTTAGTCCACAGGAGAATTACCACCCATCCCTCTTGTTGAATCTTGTCTTTCTTTGCCAGAAAATAAGTACTGAAGTATTGAAAATAAGTATTGAAGGGAAGGGAAGAGATGGGAAGGGAAGGGAACAAAGAGGCAACTTGTGCAGGAATCCCCTGCTATTGTGGGTTATTCCTACTTGTTCCTTTTAGATAAGGCGTTGGCATTTTGAAACCCAGGCTGGAGTATATTCGGATTTGTTTTTTTTAGGGGACTCCAAATTCAGGGGCTGATCACTGCTGGCAGGCTTCCTCGCTTGTGGTCGGGGCAGAGAGACATGCTTTCACATCCCCTTAGCTTGGGTTCACCCCCTTGAGGATTGGGGCTTCTCTGCTTGCTTCTGTGTCCTCTCTCTTGGGGTGGCTCTGGCCAGCTTTTCCAGCGTCCAGTAGCCAACACCCTACTTTGTGTTGTCTGGGAAAGGAGAAAGAAGAGAGGAAGCCGGAAGGAAGAGAGACACCGAGAAAGCTAGCGAGCGCAGAGGGAAGGGGGAAAAAAAAGAGAAAATCAGTAACAATATGCAGAATATCTGGTACAAAGGATGTTTCTGTCACACACAAGAATTTGTTATGGGAACAATTCTGTCGCTATGTAATTGCTCATTAGAGATCGTTTTGTTTCTCATTAAGGCGACATGAATAAGCGTCTAGTTGAAGGAGACAGCTGTAGAAATGTTCCACAGGAGACCTCTGGACACGATGTGGCACCGTTTGCCAATTAGACATGTCAGTTTTAAGAGAAGGGAGCTTTCTAGGAGGGACCCTGGGAAGATCGGAGTTTTGGGCCAACCCATTACCGCCCAAGCCTCATCTTGAGGGAGGGGGGGAGAGGGAGACGTAGGTGGCTGAGGCTAGTAGAGGACTGAGTCCAATACTGATTTTCCAGGGGGGGGGGTTGGCTCTGCTCTCTCCATCCCATTATTCCTTTGGACCCCAACACTTTGAATTCCCTCCGGGAGGCAGCACAATCTATCTATCTATCTATCTATCTATCTATCTATCTATCTATCTATCTATCTATCTATCTATCTATCTATCTATCTATCTATCTATCATCTATCAGCTCTATGCATTGTGTGTAGACGTTGTGGAAAGGGCGGTGGGAACAGGTTTAGATCCAGGAAGTGAAATATGTGCGGCAGGAAAAGCAAGAAGGATTCTGACTTCAAGGTTAGTGGCTCTTTCAAGACAGATCTACAGCTATTCCCATTTCCCTTTTTTCGTGAGCCAGAGCAAGCTCATTCCTGTAAAATATTGGGCCACAATAAATCTGCCTTGAAAGAACTACCAGCTCAACGGTTTCCGTGGCTTCTGCTGTCTTATGTTGTCCTGAAAAGCATCAAAGCATGGAGAAAGCCTTGGGCATTGCTGTTCTCTCAGGACTGCAGCGAGGCAGTCTGGGACAGCCAAACCAAATCCCAGAGGAGGGGTGGCCCGTCAAAGACCGGGTTTATTTGTAAGAGCCTCTGGACTCCGGGACTTGCTACCTGTCCGTCTGTTTAAAGATGGGAAAGTCGGGGAGGGTGTGTTCAAAGCTGGGAATTGCCACCAGCAAGGCATTCAGATGGGAAGAGGAGGGACCAATGCGTGGGCCAGGGGGAGTTGTTTGAATATTTTTTTTAAAAAAAGGAGGACTCCCTTCATGGTACCTGATGCCAGCTGTGTTGGCAAGCTGTACCCTAGCCCATTCTGGCTGGGAAGGCCGAGGGGGTTGTCCTTTAGTTCGTCAGGATGACACCAGCTGGAGAATGTTGTGCACAGGAAGATCCCAGACTGAGGTTCCAGATTGGGGGGGGGGGGAGGCAGAGGCAGCTTCAGAGTCTTTTCTGTCCTGAATTTCAGCCAGTTCAGCTCAACCCTGAAAGTCGGCAGCATTCTGGTAACTTAGGTGAAGGGGGGGGGAAGGATTTACTGAGACCGAATCCCTTACACACTCACTTACACACCCCTTGGACTCTGAGACAAAAACAGCCTGGGCAGATTTGGATTTGACACATCTGACTTCAGACTTGAATAGAACTCTGTCTGCTCAGGGGAAGATTTTTGCAGTTATACCCTACTGACACATCTGTAGTTTAACTCTTTTCCAGCCCTTTAGCTGGCCCCTTCCGATTTCTCAGCGCGTGTGCCCCCCCCCCCGATCCTAAATGGAAATTTAAATGGAAATTTCAGATGAAATCTCCTGCCTCTCTTAGTCGGAAGTAACCCGGGGGGGGGGTTGTTTAGTGGGGTGGCCCACGAAACAAGCTGGAGCAGGGGTTCTCAACCTTGGCAACTTTAAGACTTGTGGACTTCAACTCCCAGAATTCCTCAGCCAGCAAAGCTGGCTGAGGAATTCTGGGAGTTGAAGTCCACAAGTCTTAAAGTTGCCAAGGTTGAGAACCCCTGATCCTGCTGGAGATAAGAAAATATCTTCGTATTGAACGGGCTTCCTCTTCTCAGACAGCTCGCTTTTAAGATGGGCCAGCGTTAACCGGGTTCTTTTCCTTCTCCCGAAAGCGCACCCCGGATTGATGGTAGCCTCCCTTCCCGAGGCTTTGAGCAAGGGAGCTCTCGGGAAGGGCGGGGGTGGCCAGAGACCCCCACCCCACCCCACCCCACTCCTCCCTCGTTTGCATTGCTGCGGCCTGAAAGCGTAGAAAAGCGGGGAGCTGCGGCGCCCCAGCAGGGCTTGGCGAAGGTCTTCCGAGAGAGAGAGAGAAGCGAACCGAACCAGGAGCCCCGCTGCGCTGGGCCAGTTCTGGCGACTCCACGGGCGCCAGACTCAGGATCGTTCGCCCAAGTGTGGGAAAAGATTCCGGGGGGGGGGGGAAAGGCATGATTCATAGGGTTGCCAGGTGTCCACTATTTGAGTGGACAGTCCACTTTTTCACACTATGTTCACTATTTTTTTTCACAAAATAGTGGACTTTTTTTTTTTTATTCAAAAGCTTTATGATGAAATGGTACGTAATCTAAAGCTGTACAGTCTACTTTTTTTACTACTTAATTTATTTATTTATTATTTATTTATTTATTTAATTACATTTATATCCCGCCCTTCTCCTTGCGGACTCAGGGCGGCTAACAATTGGATAAAATACAAACATATAATACACCTATTAAAATTAATTAAAAAGAAATATTTAAACTAATCTGATTAAAAGTAATTAAAACCCCTTTAAAATCCCTTAGGCCAGTCCCGCAAGCTGGAACAACCANCTTCTATAGGATTTAGACACTTTCTCTTTCAACAGATGCTACAATGTTTTGATCCCAGCTCCACAGCTGAAAGGTGCCGCAATCGGTTTGCTATCTTGCTTGCTCGCTTGCTTTTTTTTTCTCTGCTCGTTTTCCGCCTCACTGATTAAGACACTAAGAAACTAAGGAATGATTTTATTTCCCAGCGTCTTTTATCCAACCCCCCCCCTCCTTTTTTTCTTCTTTCCTGGAAACAAATCCTATACCCAGCGTCAGATGGTCTAGCTTTTAGATAATAGGGGCGCAGCATATTCAACTCGCTTTCTTACGGATTAGGTCCAGAGAAGGTGGAACGGACTATTGAGTTCTTTAGAAAGCTGCTTTTTTTCCCCTCTCTCTCTCTCTTAAAAGTCTCCCTAAAAAAAGAGAGAGAGAGAGAGAAAGAAAGATATCTTAATTGTCTGTCGTTTCGTTTTCTTTCTTTTTTCCCCTTCTTCTTTTTTTAAAAAACAAAACAAAACACATATCTGCCTTATCCGATCAAAACTTTAGAGTTAACAGACCCCGGCGTGGTTTTGAGGAGGAAAGGAGCCGGGAGGGAAGGAAAAAAAGAGATGAAAGCCAATGAAAAAAGTCGTCATAAGTGTGATTGGAAGAAGAAAAAATGGATTTACTGTAGGAGAAAATCTGCGTCGTACTGAAGTCAGTGGAGAACGTCCCATTGACGTTAATGGAGTTGGAGCCTAAACCTTTGCCGTCTTTTAATGCCGATTGAACGAAGGCAGCCTTCTGGAGGGTGTAGTTGTGTTTGTTGATTTCTTTTCGAGCTTCTCTAGCCTTTGAGCTGAAAAGCAGCCAATTTTTCTTGTTACTCCCAACACTCTCTCTCTCTCTCTCTCTCTCTCTCTCTCTCTCTCTCTCTCTCTCTCTCTCTCTCTCTCTCTCACACACACACACACACACACACACACACACACAGAGTCACTCTCTCTCTCACTCTCTCTCACACACACACACACAGAGTCACTCTCTCTCTCTCTCTCTCTCTCTCTCTCTCTCACACACACACACACACACAGAGAGAGAGAGAGAGAGAGTCACACTCACACAGAGACAGCCCCCGGTTTGAGGGTATTTCATTTCTTACTCTTCGGCTGTAAACCGAGCTGCCTAACTCGTCCCCTTTGGCGAGCTGACAAAACAGACGCCGGGCGACACCCGGCGCTTGCATCCCCATCTGGCCGAAGGGAGAATCGCCCAGCTAGCCAGGGAACCCGCCAGAGACAGGTGGCCTTTTCCTGGCGTAGCCCAGCAAATGGGAAGCCGGCCTGATGGGGGTCCGGAGGGAGATCTCGGCGAGATCTGGCAGGGCGCGCGGGGCTCGAGCGGCTGGTTTTCTGCCCGATTCCTAACCGGATTCAGCTGAATTTTGGCTCCTTTCCATTCCCTTCCCCCACCCCCCTTTGGCCTTTATTTTCCTTGGGTTGGGTGACAAAAGATCCACCAAGGCGCCCCCAATCTCTCGTCCTTGGGCCGGGTGGAAGTTGAACTCGCAGTACTGTGGTTGAACTGGGGGTTCTTTGAGGTCTCAGTAAAGGAGAATATTTCTAGCTCAGGGTTGACTGGAGGGGCTCCTTGGGGCTCGCCCGAGCTTGCCTGTTTTCTTGCAGACGTTTCATTACCCAGACTAGGTAATGTCATCAGGGCTACATCAGTGATGGTGTCACCTCGTCTGGGTAATGAAATGTCCGCAAGAAAACAAGCAAGCTCAGAGACCACCAAGGAGCCCCTCTTTCAGATCTCTTTGGAAGCTTAAACCTGACGTTCCCATGCCCCCATCTT